AATACTAATAATTAAGAGTGTCTCTAGCATAGAAATAAGAAATCAATGGAACATGAAGTGCACAAAATCAGGAATATTAAAGAATATATGACAAAGGTAATGTTTCAAGTCCAAGGAGGAGAGGATGGTTATTCAACATATGAGGGGAAACACCCCCCAAAAACAGAATTATTATTTGAAGGGTGACCTCCTTGTAGTACAGGCTTCCCCTGCTAGTAAGTGTCCTAGGATCTCTTCAGCATCAGTGTACAAGGTAGTGTTGTTTTGAGAGTCTGCGTTCGGCTTCAGTAAATTTTTTTTGGAGAGTCAACCCATTTGCCCATTTCATGATGGGTAGTTTATATGAACATTTATATTGCCCACACTGTCCTGAGTGTTCAGCAGTTTTTGACCAAAAAACGGCATGACCCCTGTGCCCCACATTCTCTATTCACCCGATCTTGCCCTGAGAGATTTTTTGTTTTACTTCCCTTTATGAAAAAAATCTCAAAGGGAAACGCTTTGCCAATGTAGAAGAAGTGAAAAAAAACAGCAGAAGGGATCAAAACTGACAAGTTCAAAAACTGTTTTGAGCAGTGGAGAAAGCATCTCGATAGGTGTATTGCATCAAATGGAGAGTTTTGGAAAGTGACTGAAGTTTAAACATGTAAGACCAAATATACAATTTTTTATTTTAAAAATTCCAGGTTTTTTTGCTTCTCCACACAAAATTTTAAAATTGCCAACTATGTATAACAAAGTGAAATAGAATGTACTTCATGCCATTTATCAAATTATACTATTTGAAGCCATGGGTTAGAGATTTATATGTATAAAAGTGGAGCCACAAGATACTAAAAAATATACAGATATGTACATAATCTTGGAGTATGGAAGTCCTTACTATACAGAATGAAGACTTCACAGCCAAAGGACACAGAATTAAGTCTCAGTTCTGCCATGTACTAACAGAAGCGCCTCAGGCAGGTGACTGGACCTTGCCAAGCCTCTGTTTACTCATCTATAAAGTGGAAATACAAAAACCTACCTTGCAAAGTCATGAGGACAAAAACACATATAAGGTGCTGGAAGGTCACACTATTACTGACTCATCTGACACTGGCTGTCTGGAAAGAATGTAAGCTTCCAGAACTCAGAGACCATTTCCCTTCCAGTAATTTTTCCCTTTCCAGGTGGTTGCAACAATGAGAAGAAAACAAACATACCACAGTGTTTGATCCATATAAAAAATGAATATTTCTTTCATTCAGAGGCACTGAGAGTTGAAGTCTCCATGTACTGGGTTTATTTGGGGCATCTTTGGAGTTTAACAAGTCCCTCTGAGTTAATACTCATTAGAAAGGCTTTGACTTGCATTCAGGGGAGTGTTTGAGGGTGTAGAGAAATGGCCTTCACTACTTCAAAGACAGGGAGGTTTGGATTATCGTAAAGCCCTAGAAGTGCCCTTCTGATGTTTGTTCTGGGATTTTTCTAAGCACAGTGTCCAGGCCCATTGGCCAAAATGGTGGGGCCCAGCAAGAGAAGAGTAGAGACTCCTGAGTTATCCCCTAACTTCAGAATTAGCCAGAAGCACTAAGAATCTCAGGGTAGGAAGGAGAAAATGTGGAAGTGACAGTCTTATACACTGGGTCGTTTGGGGGCATCATGGGACCTGGCATCCACACAGACCTCATGTCCACATGGAGGTGCAGGTGGTGATCACATGAGGGGCTTCTCAGTCCTCAGGGGTAGGCTGGCTGAGCCCCACTGGAGATCCTAAGAAGTGTCCCCTCACCCCGTCTGGGTGATTGTATGTCAACTCTACCTAAGATGAAGAGGAAAACCAGCAACATTTCTAAACATTAAAACAAAACTCAAATACTTCACCTAGTGTGGTCTCCACTTCAAACTTCTTAGATCACTGTTTATGGTTTCCAACTCAGATGAGTAACTCCTTCATCTTGTTATTTTTCTAGTTTCAGCCCAATTGAGTTTTGGAAAATGCATGTGTCAAATCTTCCAGCAATCTCTCTCTCTCTCTCTTGTTTTTTTTTTGAGTTAGAGTCTCATTCTGTTGCCTAGGAAATCAGTGGTATGCTGGAAATCAGTGGTCGCTCATGGCCACCGCAGCCTTGACCTGTTGGGCTCAGGCAATCCTTCTGCCTCAGTCTTCCAAGTAGTTGGAACTGTAGACGCAGGCCAGCACAACCAGCTAAGTTTTTGGTTTACTGTAGAGATGAGGTCTTGCCAAGTTGCCCAGGCTGGTCTTGGACCCCTGGGCTCAGGAAATCCTCTCAACTATTCTGAAAGCACTTGCTTTCAGTTACAGTTTAATTGATAAGAGAATATAGCAAAATTAAAAATTTTACAACTTTAAAAATTATCCAAAAAATCACCAATAATCCACTTCCTTACCACAATAGTCTTTATTATTTTCTCATTGTCTTTTATTTGTATATATAGTTTCATGTTGTTGCAATCTTAGTTTACATTCTCTGTGTTTTATAAACTTGTGTCTATGATTCTGTCTGGGCTTCAAAACTAGTTTTAATGGTGACATAGTAATCCATAGTGTAAATGAACTAAAATTTTTCAAAATAGTCTTCAAGTATTAAACATTTAGTCTGTTCTTTTTCATATAAAAACGATGCCACGATGAACATTTTTGTGCATATTATGTTTAGGTTTGGTTGATTTTTTTTTCCCCTTAGGCTAAATTGCTAGGAGTAGAAACTATTGGATAAAGTCACGTGTATCTTGCTTGAAGGCTCTTGTTTTGTAGAAATATAAATATACATATACCATTTCCAAATCATAGTGAGCCAAGTCACATTTCATCAACAATGAGTAAGTTCTCCAGGGCCACAGCAACCTCACCAGCATTACACGTCATCATTTCAATTACTTTTTTTTAAATTAAAATGGTATTTCAAACTTAAATGTGTTTCTAAAGAAGGGTCTCCAGGTCTAGATGCCTAATCTCAATTTAACATTGCAGCATTTATTAAAATTTAAAATTGGTGAATGTAAATCTATGCTTGTTAACATGGAAAGGTATCCATTGTATATTGCACAATAAAATGGAGGTTGCCTTGAAATATGTATATTAAGGCAACCTCCATTTTTATTCTCTCTATATATTTTAATATGCTATATGCTGTATGCATTATCATATCCAATATGCCATATTGGCATCTTAAGAGTCAAAGTTGATGGATTAGACAGCACAAATTGATGCTAGGCAGAACTTGTCTAAGATAAAAATGGATGGGAGGCGAGTCCTCTTTTTTGACCCCAGGGAATGTGAGAGGAGAGACTGTGGTGATGAAAGGAAGTAGTGACACCTGTGGGTCCCTATTGTCTCCATCCAGGCTTTGGCCAGAGCTGAGGAGTATGTAGGACTGTTTGAAAAGTTAGAGAGGCCTCCCAAGGGGATTTCTCTCTGCAGGGCACTTCCTTACCCACAAAAGGTGTCTGGTGCAGTTAAGTTGGTGGTCAGGCAGATAAAAGACCTGATTTGCACTCAAGTGTCCCTAGGTTTGTCCATGACATGGGCAGGGAGCCAAGGAGTTGCGTGTCTGCCTGGGTGCCTGCCAGAGCAGGTGGGTGTGCATAACCTGGGCCAGGATCTTGGTAGGCTGTGATGGTAACAGAGAGGGCTCTCCACTCCAGCCCAAGCTGAGGGAATGTTCTACCAGCTAGGAGAGGTCACCATGCTCAGGGAAGACAAAGAATGAGTGGATCATGAGTCCATTAGGTGCAAACCATTGCAGCAGATGCCAGCAAAAGACTCTGGGTTGGGACCAGGTCACTCCACCTCAACAGACACCAGTCACATAAATCAAGGATCAACAGGAGTCCAGGAGTCCTTTACCACTCTGCCCCATGCCTCGGGTCATGATGGCCTCTCCCCCACATCTCCACCACCATCTTAGAAAGGACCACTGAGAAGACAAGAAACTGAACTTATAAGCTGGCAACATACACAGGAGGAATGAAACCTGAAATCATTGTTCGAATGAATGGATCAAGCTACTTTAAACCACTTTGGACTAAAATGTGTAAATCCTTTTTCTGTTACCCAGCAGATGAGAATCTGGTAATACCTGTCAAAATAATTTGGAGACTAAAGAATCATTGCACACTACACAGCTGAGTTGTATTAGTAAACCAGCTAAGATATGATCTCGCTTTTGTAACTCTTGTATATATGTATGTACATCTGCACAGAGAAATGTTAATAGTGATAAACTCAGCATGGTTAGATTTGGGGTGATTTTTACTTTTTTATTTGTGTTCTCATTATTATTGTTGTTATTTGTGTACTATATTATCCTGAAGTTTTTCCAAAATGCAGAAAGCTGTTTTGAAAACCTAATTCAAACCTCTTGACTATTTTTGACCTCAATATTCATCTCAATTAAGACTAAGTAGACAGACTAAAGCCATATCCATTTTTATATCTCTGACCCCATGTAACTAGTAATCAAGGACTTGCTGCTGACTCTGATTTCTTTCTTTCTCTCTTTCTTTTCCTTCCTTCCTTCCTTTCTTTATTTATTTCTGTCTTTCTTTCTTTCTTTCTTGAGTATTTTATTTTATTTTGTATAAGCAGGAGCTAAGGCTAATTGGTTCTGGTTCTGGGGAACCTGTATGCGCTCATAGGCAGCTCTGGACACCCAAACCAAAAGGTTCTATGAGTTTATTATACTGATCATGTTGATTTTATAGAAGTGACACATGAATTAAAGACTGGCCTCAAATGGAGCAAAACTTAAGTTATTTTTTAAAAAAATAACTGACTTGTTTTTAAATCACTCCAGGAAAAAAAGGAAAATACATACAAAGAATGAATGGTGAGTAGAGGCCACTGTACCTTTGCCCTCCAGAGCAAGCAGCTCTGTCCCTTTTTTGCTTTAGTTGCTGACATTTAGAGGGACACTCTCTGTGACTGCAAATGTGCAACAGACAAAATGACAGGTATTTTTTCTCAGCTGCCATGGAGTACACCATTAGGAATAAGAATGCTGATGAGATCATATAAACCGCTGTTCCTCATTCCGCATTCCTCCTCCAAAGGCTGGAAAGGGTCACTGATCAGTGGGAGATGTCCCTGGACAGACCCATAAAAACAAATCAGCAAGCTCCACCCAAGGGAACGCTACTTTTTCCTGATTTCATTTGAAATGGCTTCTTGTGGCCTTTTTTTCACTTCTGCCATTTTACAGCTTTTTTTAAGTTAAAATGTGAAATCACACTCTCCCATTTCATTCTCACAACAACCCTGAGTGGTTCTCAGGGTCTTACTATGGAGATAAGTAGAGGCTCAGCATCAAGGGCTTGTCCCAGGCACATAGATGAGAGGTGCGAGGACTGACACCTGTGTTTCCATCTGTACTCAGAGTGTTCTATCAAGTACTCGGCAGTATTAAGCAAAAACAATTGCTTACATTAGACCTAGTTATTGCATTCCTTAGACTCACCTTGAAAAATGTACGTTGACTTGGCACACATGTCCTTGTGGTGAACCATGATCTGTACTACTGCACTCCAACCTGGGCAACAGAGTGAGACTCTGACTCAAAGAAAAAAATAAAAAATAAAAAGACTGCATTTGAATCTAGTGACAGGAGAAATGGACATAGATAGAGACTGGAGATCGAGCCCAAACTTTTGTGTTACAGAAGATTTGGGATAAATTACTAAATTTCTTCAAAATCAAGTTCGCCATTCGCTATAATGAACAGCACATCGTTATGGGCCCTTGAAACACATAGTATCGTTATTATTATAAGTGTTTTTTAAATAGGTAAGATAATGATTTTGAAAATACATAAAATGCAAAATGCTTTAAAATATACAATAATAATAATTATATTGTTATCATTATCCAGCCTGTTTTTTCCTGTTTTGTATTTCTTCCTTCAAATGCTTTCAGAAATCAATATCCACATCCCTTACCACCATTCCACAGATTTCTGCTTTTTTTTCCATCCTGGATCATGCTACTTTGAAAACTTCAGATCTTTCCTTCCTGACCCCCTCTCATAGCATCTCTGATTATCTTTTTTTTTTGAGTTGGAGTCTCACTCTGTCACCCAGGCTGGAGTGCAGTGGCACACTCATAGCCACAGCAGCCTCCACCAAACTATAACCCAGGCTGGAGTACAGTAGCACACATGCTCACGGCTACCCAAGCGTCGACCTGCTGGGCTCTGGAGATCTTTCCACCTCAGTCTTCCAGGTAACCGTAACTACAGGCGTGATCTACCATGTCCAGCTAATTTTTTATTTATTGTAGAGACAAGGTCTCACCAAGTTGCCTAGGCTGGTCTCGAACCCTCAGGCTCAAGCAATCCACTTGCCTCAGCCTCCCAAAGTGCTGGGATTACAAGCTGAGCCATTGAGCCTGGCCTCTGATTACCTTTTGAAGTGCATGATAAAGAACCTCTAAAATGTACAGGCTGCTTATCACACGTGGCATCTTTGTTGCGTAAATGAATAAACCAACTGATGTGTTTCGCAAAGGGTAACCATGCTTAATTTGGGGACTTTTTTTCTTCTTCTTCTTTTATCACAGGGACAAGTGAAATGGTGACCTCAACAGATGAGGCTGAGATCTTTGGGACCACATCCTTCAACTATGACACAGGACTGCCGTGTGAAAAACTCAATATCAAAGTGCTGGGGACCCAGTTTTTGCCCCCGCTGTATGCCCTGGTGTTCATCATTGGTCTCCTGGGCAATGTGGTGGTGGTGGTGATCCTTACAAAATACAGAAGGCTCCGAATTATGACCAACATCTACCTGCTCAACTTGGCCATTTCCGACTTGCTCTTCCTCTTCACTCTCCCGTTCTGGATTCACAGCCTCACGTGGGATGAGTGGGTTTTTGGTCATTGCATGTGTAAGCTCTTGATGGGGCTTTATTACCTGGGCTTGTACAGTGAGATCTTTTTCATCATCCTGCTGACCATTGACAGGTACCTGGCGATCGTCCACGCTGTGTTTGCCCTTCGAACCCGGACTGTCACTTTTGGTATCATAACCAGTGTCATCACCTGGGGCTTGGCAGGGCTAGCAGCACTTCCTGAATTTATCTTCCACGAAGTCCCAGAGGAGTATGACAGTTCTGAATGCAATCCCGCTTACCCAGAGGATGAACAAGACAGCTGGAAAAATTTCCACGCCCTGAGAATGAACATCTTGGGCCTTGCTCTCCCCCTGCTCATCATGGTTGTCTGCTACTCAGGAATCATCAAAACGCTGCTGAGATGCCGTAATAAAAAAAAGTACAAGGCCATCAGGCTCATTTTTGTTATCATGGTGGTCTTTTTCATTTTCTGGACACCCTACAACCTGGTTCTCCTTCTGTCTGCTTTCCAAATTACGTTCTTTGGGAACAGCTGTGACCGGAGCAAAGATCTGGACATGGCCAAGCAGGTTACAGAGGTGATCGCCTACACACACTGCTGCGTCAACCCAGTGATCTATGCCTTCGTGGGTGAAAGGTTCCAGAAGCACCTGCGCCACTTTTTCCAAAAACATGTGGCCATGCACCTGAGCAGATACATCCCATTTCTTCCTGGTGAGAAACTGGAAAGAGCCAGCTCTATCTCGCCATCCACAGGGGAGCCAGAACTGTCTGTTGTGTTTTAGGTCAGGTCCAGAAAACGTTGGGTAGGTGAAACACACACAGTAAGTCTACCATAATGATCTCTAGACCAGTCCTTTGAACTTCCAGCGCAACACTGAAGCTCTTGAAGACACTGAAATATATACACAATGGTGGCAGTATATGCAGCACCCCAAGGTCATTACCTCAAGCCAAAAGCTGGGCAGTTCACTCATCATCAACCTTGAAAAGCAGAGCTTGGCTTGATTCTCTGAAGAGTTACATAAATTTTAATACACTTGAATGTTAGATAGTTATTATATGTAGCTACTAAAAGGTAAAACTTTTGATATCTTATACCTTAGCTTTAGCCAACTATTGACAGAAGTGAAACATTTTCACAAAATACAAGTCAATTATTTTGTTTACTGATGTACCTAGCTCTTTCTTTGCTTGACGAAAGCCTTTTTTTTTAGCTTATGAATAAATAATCTCAAGCAGTATAATGGCATGCCATACCTGTTTTAAGTATTCTTAATAGTAAGTTGATTTCCTGTTCACACTGAATGAGCAAATTTCCCATGAGTAACTCACAGAGCCCTGAAAGATGTGCACTGTCCTATTAAATGCCAATCTCACATTACAGGGGAGGTTAAGGGCCTCCCGTGCATAGAAGTAGCCCGGGTGTGGAGGAGAAGGAGCTAGATCTGCAAGACCTCTTCACCTCTAGCTTGGTGGCTGTCAAATGTGTCATCAGAAGCACCTGAAGAATATGTTAAAACATGGATGGCCAGGCCTCACCCAGAGTTTCTGACTCAATGGTTCTGGAGTGAGACCCAAGAATCTGCATCACTAGCAAGTTCCCAGGTGACTGTGATGATGCTTGTCCCAGGACCACACTTTTAGGGTAAATGCTCTAGTTGAAAGGCTTCTGAAGACATCCAGAGTTATCCTTGAAGCTAGGAATGACACAGTGTCGGAGGGACATAATCTAGGCTGTGCTAAGGACAAAAGTCACAAACATTCCTGGACAACAATTATTTGAGTCAGTTCATCCTAAACCAGTTATGTAGTGGGAATTTCTAGTCCATTGATTTCATTTACTTGAAATTTCTTGAGTGCCTGTATTTAGTACTCTGCACTAGGAAATTCAAAGATGAATGAGACTTTATGTGAGCTACATCCCAAGGAGAAAACCATGCAGGTTATGATGTAAAAGTATCTCAAAAAGTGTAGAAGTGGGCCTGGCGTGGTGGCTCAAGCCTGTAATTCCACACTTTGGGAGACCAAGGTGAAAGGATTGCCTGAGCCCACGGGTTCAAAACCAACCTGGGCAACTTAGCGAGACCTCATCTGTATGATAAAAAAAATAATTAGCTGGTCATGGTAGCATGCTCCTGTAGTTCCAGCTACCTGGAAGGCTGAGGCGAAAGGATCACCTGAGCCCAGCGGGTGGATGCTGGGGTGACAGTGAGCATGCTGCTGCCCTCCAGCCTGGGCGACGGAGTGAGACTCCAATTCAAAAAAAAAGAGATGTAGAAGTGGCCCAGATTTTCACTCCCTTTTCTTTCCCCTATTTCTGTCTTCTTGGGGAAGCAAGTTCTAAGCTTCTGCTTAACTTGTGCTTCTCAGGAGAGACAATTTATGATAGTGGGAGTCCTGCTGTCTGTTAAGTGATATGGACAGGATGCACAAATACTACTTTACGTTAAACGAATGATGCAGAAATGTATAAGACAAACAGAATCCCTGTCCCATGAAACCTTCAGTCTAAAATGGGGTATACGATAGAAACAAGCAACTTTTGTGCAAAGAGGCAGACAGTTAATGTTATACCTGAGTCAGGAAGGGAAAAACCATTTCTTGCTGGAACATGAGGAAGGAAGACTTCAAGGAGGAAGTGTCTTCTGGCAGGTCTCCGAAGGAAAGGCAGGACTTGGAAAGGGAGAATATTTAGGAGGAGGCACATTAAGCCAGAGAAATGCTCAACTCAAGGCACAAATATTTCTGGACAGCAAGGTAGGGTGGACAGGTTGGGGTGGGCCATAAACTCCAGGCAAAAAGTCTTAGGCTTTCCTAGGAAAGCAAGGGGAACTACTGAAGGGTTTAGAGCAGGAAGTAAAATAATGGTCACTGGTGAGGCAGGAAGATAAATTTGGCAACACAGAGTGCATGGAGAGGATCCCAGAACCATGTAGGAGGTAAGTTAGGAGATGAGAGTGTGCAAGGAAAGACCAGTGACTGGTAAGAGAAGTGTCAGGAGCACTCAGAGATTAATTTGACCAAGAGAAAGCATGAAGAAAGAGTCAAAACACTAGGAGCTGAAAAGTCCATGATTTTGTCCTACTTTATGACTGCGTCATATTCCATCATGTGTATGTACCAAATTTTCTTCATACAGTCTATTTTTGATGGGCATTAGAGATAATCATTCTTAGTGATCAACCACAGAAACAAAGAACCGAATACCATATTCTCTCTCATAAGTGGAACCTGAACATTAATCACAAAAGCACAAGGGAGGGATTGGCAGTTGCCAGACACTGCCAGGGAAGGAGAAAAGGCAGCAGGGGGTGGGTAGGGTGTGGATATAACAACACAAAGGGTACCTGATCCTAAACCAGGGGAAGTGAGAACCAATTGGAGGCCCAAACTTCACCTTCACCTACATTACTTATGTACCTAATCCGGACTTGTAACTCATATCTATACAACAAAATTAAGTAAAAAAAAAAATAAGAAGAAGAAAAAAGCACTAGAAGCGATATGTGGTTGAGTGCAAAAATCAAAGGGCAAAACAAAGTATTGTATGTGATAAAAAGGGAGAGACAGATACACATTTTCTCCTGTACTTAGATGCATAGACCATCGCCCTACAGATACAAAATAAGCCAGTACTGGTGACTGTCCTCAGGGACGCATATGGGTGGCTGAAGTAAAAGAGAAGGAAGGTGACCTTTTGAGCCTTTTGGATTTTGAACTATGGGAATATGGTACCCATTCAAAAAATAAATAAAACTTTAGAATTATATTTAAAAAATAAAAAACAGGGGTGCAATTCAGATGTTCAGATGCAAACATCCATCCTGTCAGTCATAAAGACACAAGAAGCTTTCTGCCGTGCAGGAACCCTGCAACCTAGCACAAATTATTTGGCCTCTGTTGGCCCTCTTTCCTCAACCATGTTATAAGGAAGTTGGATGAGGTCATCTCTAAGCCTCCTTGTGGCTCAAGTAGACTCTGATTTTAATATTCGGATCTGGAGGCTCAAAGTCTACAAAATAGATGCAAAAAGAAACGAGGAGAGGAGTGGTAGACAATCCCACAGCCTTACCTCCATCGGTCTTGGGGCCAGGAGCATCACCCACTGTTCACTAAAGGGTACTCAAGTTTCACTTGTTCATTCATTCATCTGGTCACTTATCATTCATTCATTCATTCACTCAGCAAACATTTGCTGAGCACCTACCACGTTCTCAGCTAAGTCCTGAGGAAACAAACTTGAGCACACCGCGGAGCCTAGCCTCAGGGTGCTCCCTGTCAGACTGAATTGTCAGATTAATCCACTGCCAGATTTCATAACCACAACTTGGAAAGGAATTGCCAACTCCCAAATTCAACACAAATGAGAGAAACATTCATGTTAAGACCAGAAAACATTTTCCAAATGCTTGGAGCAGGGGAGTGCCTGCTCTTGGCCACCCATTCCATCCATCCTCAACCTCCAGTGAGGGGCCTTGATTTTTCTTATCATCATGCCAGTGTAAAAGCTCTGCACAGGCAACACCAGATATGAACTTTGGGATACTCTATACCACGCAACACAAATCTCAATTTGGCTAGGACACTTTGAAGTACTTTTTATCTTTTTTGTGATTCAGCCAAAATGTAAATAAAACAATCATTTGAAACCGTAAGTGTACATGTCTGGCTCTCTCTTGCACTGAGAAGAAGCATCTGCCCTTGGGTAACCACAAATGCAGGGTACACATGCTTGTTCATATTCTTCTTATTGCTGAAAGCTTTTAGGAGATTTGTGGCCCACACAGAACTGCACATACCCAAATCAGTAATTTGTTGTGCACTGCTTTGCTCCCCAGCACAGCTCTATCTGACAGAACTATCTGCGATGATAGAAATGTTTCATGTCTGGTTGTCCAATATAGTCAACTCTATTTAAGCAGAATGACACCTTCTCTGTGTACCTTTTCACAATGCCTCCAACCTGCTCTCTGCAGAGGGTCCTTCAGGCACCCTTCATGTTTCTTTACAGTCATGTGAATCATGCAGGTCCCTGCCCCTGAACAGTGAATGACTTTTTTGAAGGTGGATCTTATTCATCTTTGCATCTTTTCCCTACTGGTGCGCAGTATCTAGGTCACATGCTAGCTGGCTACGGAAGCTTGATACGGGGGTTGAGGAGGGGTCCAGAGGCTGGTTTGAAGGGCTAGTGTTGCACCACTAGTCACATGGAGTAGCCACTGGCCACATGCGGCTAGTGGCAATAAGATCAGATACTAGATGTTGGAAGCCAGCTGGGAGAGCTTGGTTAAGGCTTGAGAGATGAAGCATTTACTACGTAGATGAACTCAAGTGTGAACAGTGTATTCACTTAGCAGAGGGTGAGAATGGCGTTCCAGCAGATGGGTATGTTGGAAGGCACGGTGGCACTAAGGTATGCCTCGGTGTCTGCCTCCCTGACTTCCCTGCTCTATCTTCTTTTTGTTGAGCATTATAATCATCAAAAGATGATCCTTTTCTAGCTTGATTCTGGAAATTTTCTCCCAAATTCCAGAGCTAACATTCTAAAGCCTTCACATTTCTTGAACAAAGCAGTTTCCTGTCCTCTGTAGCCTATGGACTGTCAAAAACTTCACTGGGGTTTATATCTGCTTCTGCCCAGGTAAGTCCCCAGGACAGTTAGGGCCACCATTCCTCTTTCCCTAATCTCTGATCCAATCAAAGTTCTAATGATGACCTGCAGGCTAAACCCTGGCCATTGTCAATTTTGTGACTAGAGCACCCTTGGAGCCCAGTCACACGC